ACACCATCACTTTGGCCGACGCTTGAGTTCTGGTGGCCAACCGAAGATGCACATAAGTAAACAATATCATTTTGTTTGTTTTCAAACTGTTGGACAACGAAAGTTTTCTCATCGAAGAAAAACAAATTCGATCGTGTCGCTTCTTTTCGAACCATTTCTGCTGATGTTGCTGTTTTCTTCCGTCCACTTCCTTGACGTTGTGCTATGCTACCAGTATTACGGTAACGAGCGATGATACGAGACACAAAAAAATTGTTCACATTTAAATGATGGAGTGCTCTAACGACAACCATTTGTGGTTTTGCTGCCAAATATAAAGAAATCACACTATCACGCTTGAATTCCATCACAAATAACTTTTTTTCTGGAAAATTCTCACAAAAATGCTATTGTACGCTTGTAAAAAATTTAATGATATGAGGATATGGATTATGAGTAATACGGTCGTATAAAACAATTTATTATGGTGGCGAAGATGAGCATTTATTTGTACGGTACGGTTCAAAACAACACATACACCTTCAAAAACTGTATAAATGTTTGTATATGACATGGCTACTATACGAAAAAACCGAACCTGCAAGAATCTACTAGATTTGCATTTTTTTTCGATATCATAAATGGAAAATCATTTATCGTTCTTAAAACTTTTACATTCTTGAAGTTCTGGAACAGATCAGTAGTGGATTCTCTAACCCATTTTTTGAGTTATCGACCAAAATAGGTATATTTAAAACCCAAAAGTATGATATACAAAAGAAGTTAAAGTTGACAACATTGGTATCTATCGGTAGGTCTTAGCGACTACTTTGGTTTCGTCGAATTCCACTACAGATGTTATGTCATGTTTACGTTAGAACTTTTTGTAGAGTTAACCTACTTTGAGAGGATTTATTTGAAGTAAAAGTAATGGATATGACAATTTAAATCCAAATCCAGTGGGTTAACCCTCATATATATAAACGTACTGTTAGTCACATGCATGGCTTAATATGTCAACTATGTTTGTTTATGCATATGTTTTCTTTTCAATAACAAAAAAATGTTTGTTTCAACGTATGCATCGACAGTATCGAAATAAACCTTTAGAGATATATAAAACATGATTTTGAAAAGCAATGTTGATCTTTCATTCAGTTTTCGCGGGTTTTAATTATTTATTCAAAGAAAGTTGTTTGATTTTTTATTGTTTTGATACTAATTCTGACATAACAAGCCAAAAAGGTAGACCTCTATACTTGCAAGTTTTTCAAAGTTAGCCTTCCTTCTCTTCATTGTACCATGGTCACATGTAAGCAGACTTTATTTAGCATACTTTTAGATGTTCCCCAATCTGGCCTTAATAAAGAAGACATTTTAATACAGTGCCAAATGTTTTTATATTTTGCCAAAAATATGAGAAAATCATATATATGTATACTATGTTCTTATTGCAACAAAAGAATCAGACATCGCTTTCACATTTGTTAAGTGTAAACCTGAAATAAAAAAGAAAAAAGGCTTGTATTTTGCCATTAAATGGATTTATAAATATATATTTGACAATGAGATGTTGTCAAATGAATAATTTTGAAAAAAAAAAAACATATGATTGCAAGTCTTTAGCTTTTTAATTCTAACATGATCATACCCAATAACTGACATATTGTACAAAAATATTCACGTTTTCCCGCTAGAAAAGTTGAATGAATGTATTTGTATTTGCAATTGTATTTTTATGTTGAACACATACAAAAACGAACAATAGCAAAATGTTAATGTTTTGATCGGAAAAGGACTACCTTCAGATGATTTTGATAATTTATTCATGGTAAAATTAAGAAGGTAAAGTCATTTAAAAAAGCATGCCCATCTGTGCATTTTCGCTAATTTACCTTTTTACATTTCTCTATATAAAAACAGGTTCCCATCTCTGATTCGTGTATGTGCAATGGATTTATAAATACAAATTTTGACAATGAGATGTTGTCAAATGAATAATTTTTGAAAATATTGTAAATATATGTTTGCACGACTTAACCTCCTTGATTCTACCATGAATTTATTTAAAAATGTTTTTTTTTTTGTACATCAAGTGTGCGTCGTTAACTGTTACATTGCCAAATAAATAATGTAAACAAACTACCTCATATATTATCAGTTAATTAAAATATAATAGGTTATCACAGAGTATACGTATACTTAGCATTTACATAAGAATTTTTCCACTATATATATATGAAAAAACTTCAACCAACTACTGACTGCTGTCATTTCTAAGCCACTAGTATAAAGTATATACAGGTATAGTCGACCGAAGTATTCAATTTTCATACTTCATCTAATATAGATAAAACTATTGGTATGGGCAAAATTACAAGAAAATCCACATTCATATCAGGTTTCTGCTTACAATAGAGCTTGTTTTGATGGAAATATTAGGATGTACCATGTCTGAATGGAATCGGATATTAATTTCGTGTTTTATGAGCTTACTGGATTTTCAAAATTTTGACCCTTTGTGGGTAAGGTACCAGATAGGTGCGCCAATATATTCGATATTCACACCAGATATTGAGTAAAAATAATGAGATGTTTCGATTTTATTCGTTTTTGTTATCCAAAACTTTGACCCTTTGTTGGGGAGGTACCAGGAGGAGTGAACTGATATATCCCACCAGACTTTGGGTTGATAAAAATATTGGTTGATAAAATATTTGGGTTGATAAAATATCACATATAATTGTTGAAAATATTGACCCTTTGTGGGAGAGGTACTTGTTGGAGTGGACCTATATTGTCCATTTTTGCACCTGACCTAGCACTGATGCAAATATTACGATTTGTAAAGTTGGAGAAAAATCGGATTATACTTTCTCTTTCTGTGCAGTATAATATTTTCTTGGAAAATGTTCATCTCTTGTGCGGGAGGTACCGAACTCGATCTAAGTTTGATATAATTATATTACGATGTACCAACAAAGACATAGAAGTATAAAGGTAGTGCAAGACAGAGCCAAAATATTATCACCAGGTGTAAATTTCTCCGTTGTTACGATATCATAACAACATAATCACCTATGTTAAGTTATTTTAACAGCCAATGCAATTTTCAATTAATTGAAAACGTCAATGGAATGCAATTTTTAGTCTAAATGTTTGGTTTACAGAAAATGTTATTCGAAAAACTGCTCTGTAATTATATTTTTATGCTAACATGTCTGTTGTGAGCAGCGCCTCTAACTATTTTTCGCATTAACTATTTTTCAATAATGGATTTTGTCCAGTCTTTACAATTTTAGGTCTTTGGTACCAGTTTGGACTAAATCTCCCATCGAGAGTTATCGTACGCACCAGCCAGACAGACATCACTAAATCGACTCCAAATATCCTGAAACTTATTTGGTGTAAAGAGACCTAGCGTCTTACACCGTTATTTCGATTAGTCACGTTTTGGCCGTATCAAATGATATACAAACTCTCCAGCCATATGGCTGAGGGCATTCGTAGCCATATGCAAAGACTGGACAAAATGCGTAATGGAAAAATAGTTAATGTGAACAAGTGAAAAACATTAAGTTCGGCCGGACCAAAATTTTAATACCTTCCACTTTAGGGTAAGGGAAACATTAGAGCCCATTATGACCCAAATATACCAATTTTTAGACATATTCATGGGAAAAATCATCAAAATACCGAATATCGGGAAATACGGCTATTTGGAGCTATACAAAAACGTGGACCTATACATACAGTGTTTCGCCAAAAGAAATCCGCGTAGAAATGTGGCAAAAACCATTAAAATGCCAATGATTCGCCACCCGAACTGTGACTCATTATGATCTACAACTACCAATTTTCAAAGCAATCCGTGAAAAAATGTGTCAAAAATCCTCAAAATACCGAATATCGGAAGGTACCTTTATATGGGGGCTATATCAAAGCGTGGACCCATACATGCAATGTCTCGCCACACGAACTAGGACCCGTTATGACCTACAAATACCAATTTTCAGACAAATCCGTGAAAAATGTGGCATAAATCATCAAAATACCGAATTTCGGGAGGTACCGTTGTATGGGGACTATACCAAAACGTGGACCGATATATCTCATTATCAATACAAACCATTTATTATCAATACCAACCATCCTAGACACAATACAAATTACACTGCTAAATTTTGGCGCTCTACGTCAAATAATGTGGGCTGTATCGTGATTTCAACAGACAGATAGACGGACATCGTTAAATCGACTTAAAATTTTATGTATATAGGGGCGCTGCTCACAACAGTGACATGTCAGCATAAAAATCATATTTAAAGAGCAATTTTAAGAATAACATTTTCTGTAAACCAAAAATTTGGACTAAAAAACTGCATTCCACTGACGTTTTCAGTTAATCGAAAATTGCATTTGCTTTTAAAAAAACATTGGTGATTTTGTTGTTTTGATATCGTAACAACAGAGGTATTTACACCTGGTAACAATATTTTGCCTCTGTCTTGCCCCATCTTTATACTTCTATGTTTTTGCCATATAAAAACTTTTACATCTTGCAGTCCTTTAAATTTGCTACCAGCACACCAATAGATTTAATTAGGCGCCACAATATAGTAGATCTTGGAAATTGTGATACACTAGAAGCAAATTTAAACACTATCACACGTAACATTTATTCTCTGATATCTTTCACATGAGCGAAGTTGTCTCATCCTTGTAAATAAGCGTCGCATGTCATCATTTGACGTGTCATTGATAAAACAACGACCACAAGGAGAACCATTTCGTAACAGTGTGTTTAACTACAAATCAGAAGATCGTATGCCTAAAGGAGAGAAAACGAAATATGGTTATCCATTGTGGACAAATTTGACAGAATAAACTCATCTCAACTATTCTAAAATATTTTAAACTGAATTGTTAACTTTTAGTGCAAGCTACTGAGTTATTTTTTGTAGAGAAAGTTATCCTACACACCTAAAGTATACAGGTATATAAATTAAATTTAGTAAAAATTAAAAAAAAACATATTTTATTAATTCATTTGTATTTTTTTTTTGGTAATAATATTAGTCGGATTTGTGTTGTTATTGTTCGATGTTAAATTAATAAACAGAAATAGTTATAACATATATAGGAAACATTTCATACACATAATATATATTTAAATATTTGTATTAATTGCTGAATGTTCACGATTAATTTATTTCTTTATTTTTCAGTAGTATTCCCTCCGACGGGCATTTCGTACTTGATTGGCCAGACAGCAAGCGAAGATGAAAGCAATCAACTGCAAAAAAAAAAAAAAAAAACAAATAAAAATTAAACAGAATACAATAAATATATTTGTCTGCTCCAGAACTGCAAGAATGTAAGTTTTCACTGCTTTATGATATCGAAAAAAAAAATTGCAAGACTAGTAGATTATTGCAGGTTCTGGAACAGAGCATATGTGTACACACCTCAATACCGGCAACACCCAAGCCAGCATAACGAATGATATCAATGTTCTTGGACCACATTCTGTCGAATGCTGTTTTACAACCGGGACGTGGAAGGGCCTCCACCAAAGAGCAGCTAGTTGCAGAGGGACCGCAGCAAGACTTGGGAACGCCTTCCAATGTATAATCAGTAGGTGAGGTATAACCGCAACATTTAAGCTGTTCAAAAGAAAGATGTTATATATTAATTTAACAATTTTTATAAAAAATATTGCAAATATAATTATTAATAAAATAGAAAGAGAGTGGGAGAGAGCGGTGGCATTATCTTCATATTTTATCATATATTATATCTTTTTAAGTGAATTTTGGATTTGAGATAACAATTTTGGCAGTCCGTCCACTGAGAGTGTACAAATTCTTACTGAACAAAATTAAAACTCGTCTTCTTCTCCTTCCGGTGATTTATATTTGGACAAGCAAATGTAAAACATCTTTATTTTTGAAATCGTTTTTAAGTTCTGTATAATATATTTCAGTTTATGACGCACAAATAGTATTGTTTTAACAAATCAGATGATTGCTTACTAATTTTTCAGGGATTCCGTCTGTTTACTTTTTACAGTTTCCTTGCAAGAGAGAATAAAACTACCTTAAGGTGAGAACACATAGTATCCTTGTTTAAGTCATCGGCTGGCTTCTTCGGAAAAGAACAAAGGGGCGTAGGGCCAATATCGAACTATGCCAACCAACTTTGTTCCTCTACTAAGAAACTAACCGAAGTTTTAAGCCAGTCAAAAAAGCGTTTTATGCATTTTCACTTTTACTCTCCCAGAAAGATGTTCCTGGACAATTTCCTGCAGGAATTATAATCAGACGCAACTAGTATTATCGTTAAAGTCAAAAGGCAGGTGGCATAACAAATTCAACATATTACGATGTTGGCAGAGGACGCTATATGGCCATTAAGGCAACTCTATCAGACGGAATGTTTATACCCTACACCACATAGTGGTAAGGGTATTATGTCTTTGCGCATTTGTTTGTAACATATTTTGTTTCATCCGATGTATTGTCTAAGTTCCTCAAATTCGCAAAATAAACGATAGAAGGATAATATTTGGTACACGATATCAGATACAGCCAAGAAATAGCTGTTTCAATTTTCAATAAAGATCGGTTCAGATTTGGATATAGCTCCCATATCATTATCCGATTTCAGGTTTATTGTGCACCAAATGGCACCGAATTTAGCATAGAAGTAAGAATTTCAAATTTGCTCACATATATATGCTTCATCCGATTTGGTGTTTAAATCTTCAACTTTCGGAATATGTACTCTACCATAATCATATTTTGTACCAGATATCTCATAGAGCTCCGAAATGCCCAATATAAAACTTTCTTTTACGAGAGCACTACTAAATATGCATAGTGGCCCCGCCCGACTTTTGAGCCATCCTTAAGCTGGGAATACATAAAGCGCTTATTTGGCTGGCTTAAGTCATCGGCTGGCTTCTTCGGAAATGAACAAAGGAGCCTAGGGCCAAAATCGAACTAGGTCAACCTAAAACTCCTTTGTTCATTTACGAAGAAGCCAGCCGATGACTTAAGCCAGCCAAATATGCGCTTTATGTATTTCCAGCCTTACTTGTTTTTACGTAAGTTGTCCCAAATGTTTCATATTAAGAATATGGGCATATCGTGTGATTACATTTCAGTTAATAAATACGTGAGTAAAAAATTATAATTATTATTTTTTGCCAAAAAATTATTATACTTTATGGATGCATTTTTACCGCAAAATATTATATACTTTCACCCAACGTATAAACAACACTTTTGATTTTGATGAAAATAGGCCCGCTGTGATCGAAAAAGTACATATGTACTTTACTCATGTATTTCACAAACGAAATGTCGTCCATGCATCAAACGAAGTGTGCAACTTCTTCATATGGAAAATTTGACACTACACGTAAAACCATTATCGTCTGATAGCAGTTTTACCAGAACTTGTTTGTTAGGTGTTGCTGCATTGAATAATTAAAAAATCCGTTAAAAATCGTTAAGATTAGATTAGTAAATGCAATTTAGTTGCAAACATTCTGAGCTTTAAAAACGAAAAAAAAAAAACATTAACTTAGGGAAAATTAAGGTACTAATACATGGAACAATGTTTTTTTTTCTCATGAGTAACCGGCTGGCTTTTTCGTAAGAGAACGAATTAGTTTAGGTTGACTTAGTTCAATTTCACCCCATACTTTGAACTAGGTCACCCTAATTCCTTTGTCCTTCATGCAAAAGCCATCCGGTGCCAGAAAAAATCTTTCTTTGTATTCTCGCTATTAAACTAAAAGTGAGCAATCACCCATTCTACATTAATAGTATGTTTACAATAGAACTTATTTCTGGCGTAACCTCCTTGTTTTGACGTATATGCAATGTAATTGGTAATTTAAATCCAATGGGTTTAATAAACTCAGTAAACTGTAAATGTACTATAAGAGACATTTCATATTTTAATAAAAATAGCAGAGATGGTTGATTTAATTTAGCTAAAAAAAATTACACACGATGTAATAAAAATACTTACGCTCAATTCAATGCCATCCATGACACTTCTGTCGGTTTTTCGTTGATCCCAAACAGTCTTAATGGCACTATCCATGCTGCTCAATATCTTATCGCGTTGTACCCAAATGAAAATAATCAAAGCCAATTGACACAAGAACAGGGCAAACATAATGACGGAATACTGCAAGAAGAAATCACATTATTTGTTGGATTGCATTATCAGAACAGATAGCATTGTGCAAGTTTTAAATCAGAGTTGTATTTGCAAACATTGATATTACCAGCATACGAAAATAAACTATATCAAACGTTTGCAAACGTTTTGTTTTGTATTTTCTCGAAGTACAAAGCGAAAAAAAAAAACTGATATTAAAATAACGGGAATTGTTAATTGTTTTGTACTGTTTGTGTAGATGAGTGGAAACAAAATTGAAATGTACTCTGTTGGAATACGCAACATTGGAAACGAAACAGTACCATATTCATTGCAAACGTTTCCTTGTATATTAACTTATCGCAATTAATGTACAAAGTAATATTAAGATAAATTCAATTCTTTTTATAATTTTTTGAACATCGTACAATGTAAAAATGCACAAAAAACAAAAATAAGAATAACAACTCTTAATGTACCAGTCATCATTTCACACAGCAAACGTTTACCGGCGATTCGTTCGGAAACGATACAGCTTGGCAACTCACAGCCGATGCACATTAAGGCAATCGTATTTTTTGTGTACTTCTGGCATTGAAATGTTTGTGGTTTTGTTATGTTTGAACTACAAAACGATTGAAAGAATTTTAAAAGTTTGTGTCTTCGCGAGACATGTACATTAATCGTTTCGTTTGTTTTCGTTCCCTGGATATTTCAAATAATTTAGGTTGCAAATAATTTATTATTTTGGAAAAAATGTCAAACCAAATTTGTTTGGCTTTAACCATGGTACAATAAATACACACACAAAATTGGCAGAAGTAGGACACACTTAGAAAAAAAATTGTAATCAGCTGGTAGCTCTATCTTATCTTTCTATTGTACCATGGTTTTAACAATCCAAAAAAACGTTGCACAGTGGACCTTTGTACGTCGAATATGTTATTAATTCTACTTACCGTCATGGTGCAACATGAGTTTTCACGAATGGCGCCGCAGCATCCCAAGAAGGAAATTACAAAAATGATGCAACCCAATACTATGATGGCGATTGGAACGGTGTGGGTTTCATAAGCGCTAACAACATCCTTTATGTCACCGATGCTTGAGATCATAATCGATCCGAATATGATTAATAGAATGCCACATATCTGAAAAGGAAAAAAAATAATTTTTTTAAAAATAGATGTCGATTAAATTTAACCTAGAGTTTTTTAGTTATGAAATATTACAATGGAACTTGTTTTATGGTTTAATTGCATATCATATAATTTGCTAAAGGTATAAACAACAAAAACATTAAAAGAAATGGAAAAATGTCAAAGGATGTACATACAATATTTCTATTTACTTTTTTTTGTCTTGTATTTATCTTCAATTAATACAGTTACCTAGCCCATAGGACCATGGACGGTTCCAACAACTTCTATACATGACTAATCTAAAATTAGTAAATTTGTCTAGTTACGGAAATGGAAAACATACCTGTATGCATTTTCAACAATGTTTACGAATTTCAATAATTTTTCATTCAACATTTTTCAATTTCAAGATCGGTTTAACAGGTCATTGTCCTAACATTTTTGTCGATGCGACTACATGTATTTTCCTATCATGCTACAAACACATTAATATTATAAATGTCATGGCCACAACCAAAAGGTAGTAGGAGAAATCCAACTATTTGCTTGATTATTTTCTTCAATTTTCAAAAATTTTTGGAAATGGGGAAAATTTACAAAACCTAATTGGAATATTGGAGCTATACTGCAAAAAATGTGTCTAAGGAGGAAGAGTAACATTGCAGCAATTATTCCCCATTTTTGTTACAAGTGTATTTGAAATTATTATATTTTATGACAGAATAGCGGGTGCTAAACGAGACCAATATAAGGACGCACAAGAAGACTACCTTTACAACAATTTGACAATATTCTTAGTTGTTTTTGAATTTCAAATCACAATTCTATCTTTTGACAGCAAACTTTGCATGTAAGCTTATAGGCCTTGGTCCCAAAACATGACCAAAGTAATCTCATGCAATCATACTATTATAATTTTTATTTAATGTCCTTGAATTTAAATTTTGTAGTTCTACCTTAAATATAAGCGTACATCTGGAAAAAATCATTTCCGACCAAATATTATGTCATGTTCGCTCCATTTAGAGGGTATTAAAGTCAAAGAGGGATAAAAAACTAAAATATTAGCCTCATAAGTTACGTAAGACTTGATTATGGAATGGTTCGATTTTTCATGGTATTTCTTCGTATTTGGCCGGAAACCCACAAGTGGCTATCGTTAGAGCACTCCAGCATTTAAATGCTGAATGAATGAAAATAGACTCAAAAGAGTTGCTTCGCTTGGCCGAAAATGGTGAACTGCCGAATTTGTTTTTCTCTCGGTTGGCCACCAGAACTCAAGCGCCGGCCATGGTGATGGTGTGGGCCGCCATAATAGCTTACGGTCGCTCTCCGCTCGTATTAATCGACCGTGATATTAGATTTAAAACTGAATATTATCTCGAAAATATTCTGGAGGGTGTATTAAAGCCTTGGGCACGCAAACATATTGGCCGCAGACCTTGTACATTCCAACTGGACTCAGTACCATCGCACTCAGCACGCGCCACCCAAGAATGGTTACAAAATGAGGTTCCTCGCCACCAAAATCTCCGGATACCAATCCGTTGGACTATTGTGTCTGGAGTATTTTGGAAAGCAAGGTTGGCACTAAAAAATACCAAAGTGTCGACCACCTCAAGCAAGCGCATCGCCGGGAATGGGCCAAAATACTGCAGATCAGCATTCGAGCAGCGTGTGACGTTTTCATTGGCCGTTTGAAGGCCATAATTCGTACTTTTGCTTTCATTCAATAAAATTAAAAAAAAAATGTACAAATTATGGCGTTTAACTTTGTTGCAGTTTTTTTATCTCACCCTGTAAGAATAAGCATTTGACTGATTTTAGGATTTCGAAAAAACCACATCATTGAAATACATGATGTTCAAGCAGATTCAAACTGATTTATAAAATAACATATAACTTTATATCACACCTACAAAATTTTTTTTGCAAAAGCTCACTTTTCATTCAAAGCGTAAAATACGTTTATAATTCACTTTCCAAAAAAATATGATGACAAAGTAAGTTGAAAAAGTGGCATTCATTCAAATTGATTATAGATGACACTCACTGACACTACATTGACTGTACGACACAAAACATTTGTTGTGTGAGCGATATTTCAAAACTTGTAAAATATCGAAAAAAAAAAAATACTAATTTACAGGCTCTGGAACACAACTATTACAACCTCTTTCATAATTTCAATAGGCAGATGGACATAACTAAAGGTAAGAATACTTAAAACGCTTTTTTGGTTTTCTTAAGTCATCGGCTGGCTTCTTCGGAAAAGATCAAAGGAGCGTAGGGCCAAAATCGAACTAAAGCTCCTTTTTCCTATACGAAGAAGCCAGTCGATGAGTTTTTATAAGCGTTTTATGTACTCACCAAGCCACTATAGAATTTTACGAAATGTAAAATGTTATGGTTACTGAAAGGCAGTTGTAAGCCGAATGGTTTGATTTTTCAAAATCTGAAGATTTTAGATTCAATTATTCCACCATTGAGTTAAGATGTTAACAGTGACAAAATATATTCTATGTGCGTTGCACGCGCACACTAATGTATGTTTATAGATAAGGTTTGTCGAATTTTAACGCCCGAGGTACTGGCAAACATATTTGAGTCTTAAGCAAACAAAATATGTTAAGTATGTATTTTTTTAATTTAGGTATTAATAATTGTGCTAATAACTGTCACCCAAAGCCTTGTTAGTGTTTGTGAAGTATTTATATTTTCCATACTAATATCAACTTAGATTTTTATTTACCACATTTTATTTACAATATCAGAAATGAATCATTTGGATTTTTCTTTGAAATAAAGATTTAGTAAGTGCGACAAAACACTTAAAAAAAAAACTTGCTTGTGTCATGTATACATTTATATAAGGCAGAGCCAGGCAGGGCATGTCGAAATCATTCTTTTATTGTATGTATTTTTAAATTAACAAGTTAGAAAAAATCAGTCGGTTTTGCAGACAGATGTATACCCTTAGACAATGTTCGATTATTTAAATATATTTTGACTTCTGTTATGATTATTCAAATGTTTAACCCCTTGTGGAGTAGGTTCCGAAGGAATGGGCCAATATTGCACATTTTGTATCGGACCTAAAAAATATGATATAAATATTGCGATGTGCCAGGTTTGGACTATATTGGTTACTTCCTATCATTTATATATGTGATAATTTTTAGAAAATGTTAACATGTGCGTGAGGTACCAGATATAGTTAACCGTTTTTCATGCTTCATCTAATACATATAAAAATATTGGTATGGGCAATATTATAAGAAAATCGAACATTTAAATTCAATTTATGGAAAATCATAAATTCCATTTTCATCTCAGGTTTCTGGCAAAGAGGAGTATATATTTAGATATAGCGAGTTGTAAAGAACCGCTGATTTGTTTCGCAAGTTATGGCAGATAAATATATTGAAAATTGTGAAGAGGTTCACAGATAAATATCATCTGCACAACTGATATTGTATTAGCAAAATGTTTGTATGTGTGAAATTTGAAGAGTGTTGAATATTTATTTCGCTTTCTCTGAGCGTTTTGTTTTTCAAAATCTTGAATGTTTATTTCGCTTTTTATGAGCTTCATGGATATTCAAAATGTGTGGGGGAGGTAACAGAAGGAGTGGACCGATATATTCCATTTTAACACCAGATCCTGGGTTTACAAAAATATTGGGATATATGAAATTTTAAGACAATTAGAATCTTACATCACATTTTATAAGAGTAGTAATTATTCGAAATTTTGACCCTTTGTGGGGGAGGTACTTAATGGAGTGCACCGATATTGTCCATTTTCGCACCTGACATTGAACTAACGTAAATATTAGGATTTGCAAAGGTGGAGCAAAATCGGATTATTGCTTCTCTTTCTGTACAGAAAATATTTTTTTTGTTGAAAATTTCGACCTTTTGTGGGGGAGGTACCGGAAGGAGTGAACCGATGTATTCCAACTTGGGATGTGTGAAATTTGAAGGCAATTTGAAGACTCTTACATCACATTTAATAAGAGTTGTAATTATTCAAAATTTTGACCCTTTGTGGGTGAATCGATATTGTCCATTTTCGCACCTGACCTAGCAAGCGAATATTAGGATTTGCAAAGTAGGAGCAAAATCAGATTATCGTTTTATATATTCCATCTTACCTATTACATAGAGTACTGTTTTTCTACTGGAATGGTCACTTGGCTATCCAGATTTTTGATGTGACGATTTGACGTGTCGGGCATGCTCAAGTAAATGAGAGTGGGTGTTGAAGTTAGCAGCTGTAGCGATTTCAATGCAAAATTGTTTATTGTCATCACTTTTAAAGCAAACGAAAAGAACAAGGGAAATTTTTATGTAAAGGTTGATCTTTTACCTATTCCCTTTATGGCAACCCTGCTTTAAACAGCTCACGTACTTTTCGTTTTTTACTGTTAAACATCTGCAGTTTGGTCTATAATTTAACTATGTCTTACAATAGATGTTTTTGTGTCAAAATATGTGTTTTGTAGAGAAAGTTAATCACATGCAGTTTGTTCAGCGATGATGCTCATTTTTTACGACGAAGTCAGCCAATGGCTTAAGCAAGTCATAAAAGCGTTTTATGTACTCTCACCGTCTTCATCAATTCTACGTACAAGTGTGTGTCATTAATCACTTTGCGTCAAAAATAAAGAATCATGAAACATATTTTGTGACAATCCTAAAGAGCATAATTTCGAAATGAGTATGATTCATATGCACTCCATTCTTATCAATATCGATAAAATGTGTGAACACGTCGTCGTATTGAACAGTCAACAAATATCATGACATCAAACTATATTAACACCATATTACAAAAAAAATACAATTTTATTAAAAATTAGTATTCCTGTTCGAATGAACAGAATATTTGTTTAATTAGCAAGAAAAAGACAATTACAAATATAGGAATTCTACAAAAAAAAAAAGAGAGAGAGAGAGAGAGAAATTTGTGTCTAAACATTCCATGGGCACCTAAAAGATTAAAAATGTTCCTCAATAGTTTATTCTAATTATTCTACTTTAACAGACAGAAAACAAGACTCCAATCAAATGCTATGTTCCAGAACCTGCAAGAATCTACTAATTTAGGATTTTTCATATCAAAATGGAATAATGCAATAACCGATTATTCCATTTTGATATGAAAAATCCTAAATCCTAGTAAAAATGTTTATTTGTTTGTTTTGTTTGTTTGTTTAAAAATCCTAGTAAAAATGTTTACATTCTTGCAGTTCTGAAACAGACCAAAAATGTTGCAAAACGTTTTACAAAAGTTTAACTAAAATACTAAGCTTATAGAAGCTTTTATTTAAAAATGTTAGGCATTTTGCGCGTTTGAATACAGAATTGTATGTTTACATTAGAGCTTTTTGTCGGGTTAACCTTCTTTATGAGGATTTATTTGACTTAAGGTGTAAGAACATAAGAAGCTTGAAATCATGTCTATGCATATTTTGTGACATTTCATAAAGGGATATCAGAGCCGCACTAAAATCCTGCCGTCGTTTTTCATTATAATTTGACATTAATATGCCTAGCCATGACTTCAAGCGTTTTATGTACTTGCACCTTTATTGCTACATTCAGATTCATTCACCAGACTTATAGGGCGTTTAGATACACCATTTTATCCGGATTAACCCACATTATCAAGATTTATTGCTACATCCGGATTCGTTCAACCAGATAAAAAGTATCAGCACGAGCACCCTGTCTGAATGGAATCGGATGTTAATTTTGCGTTTTGTGAGCTTCATGGATATTCAAAATTATGACCGTTTGTGGGGGGTGGTACCAGAAGGAGTATACCGATATATCCCATCTTAACAGGAAATCTTGTGTTAGTAGAAATAATAGGATGTGTGAAATACGAAGGGGTTTTATAATAGCTTTGGTTATTCAAAACGTTGAATAACTTTTGTGGGGAAGGTACCAGAAGGAATGAGCCGATCTTTACCATAGTTATAACAAATCTTGTGTTGATAGAAGCATTGAGTATATGTGCCAAGTCTGTCTATTTCTATTTTCGAACTTGGCCTAGCAATGATGTAAATATTAGGATTTGCAAAGTTGGAGCAAAATTAGATTATCCTCTCTCTTTCTGTGCAGTAAACTATTTGTTTTGAAGATTTTATTGAGAATATACCAGAAGGAGTGGTCCGATTTTATCCATCTCCGAACTCGATCTATGCTTGACAATAATATAACGATGTACCAAGTGTGGAGCAAATCGGATACTCCCTTTGAGAGTTATCGTGCGCACCAGCCAGATAGACGGACGGACGGACATCTCTAGATCGACTCCAAATGTTCTGAAACGGATTTGGTCCAAAGAAACCTAGGGTCTGAGGTTAAAATCCGATTTGGAACCTACTAACTAACGGAGAGAATCACTGTTTAGTACGACATTAGAATTGCCATACATTCTAAAGTCGCAAATGTTTCCTTTTAATGTTTTCATTCTTTACATTTTGTATTGGAACAATAACTAAAAAACTTAAAATTTTATTTGCTTATGATAATACATTGGTAAATGCATTATTTTCCCCGCAGAGGGTCACCAATGAGGCGAAGGAAGGTTCTCACCGTTTGTCTTTGAATAAATTCGGATCACCAGATATAGACGACATCGTTTCAAGGGTATGAATATGAGAGTTTACTAGCCCAAAGAGACTCTACTGTCCCAATGATCAGCCATGGTCATAGAGAAATAAAGGTATGGACTATAAAGTTTTAAAGTTGAACCCTTCCGACAAAGGCCGCCATTGTTGATTATCGGGACAGTGAAGCCACTCAGGGCTAGTAAAGTCACTCGACTTCGACAACAATTTATTAAATTTTCTGCTATTTAAGTTCCATGGTAGAAGCAGACAAGTAGATGGATCAACACTTGGGAATATCGATATGTCAAAAAAATTTACATGTTTTTTTCAAATATAAGTAGATTTTTATCTGTTTTCTTATGCGACGTCAAGTGGAGGTTATTATAATAAGCGTATTTTAACAATCTTTACAAATTTCGATAATTTTTCATTCAAAAATTTCAATTCCAAAATTGGTTTGACAATTCATTGTCCCAGCAGCTGTGTCGGTAGGTAGACGCATACCTGTATTTTTCTACCATGTTAAGTTCTATATTTTTATATTTCCCGATATAGTTTGTTAATGTAAATGTAAACAAAGTCACTGTTTTGTCTTCAATTGATAATATCGTCTATTGCCCTACGTTTACTTTTTCTCATCTTTACAGCTGAGAAAAGTTACTCTCTTGCAATTACTGTTACTGAGTAAATCCTACTGGGAATGCAACCAGACAAAAGCAAAGCAAAATCATGTAAAGAGAATGTTTAATAGGAATTGAAATAGCTTTTCCGATACACTTTACAATTTAGTTAAACTATTTTAAACTCGAATGTTATCTAAAATTGTTAAAAATGTAGCGAGTTTTTGTTTAATTCCCTCTCTTCTAAATAATAATATATAATAATTCCATCTTATTGATGTTCAGAATGAACAACGATTTAATTATTGTAAAATAATGCAAAATGCAAATAATGAGCGTACGGAAAGTAAACGCGGGTTTGTGCAGGAATGTTGTATAGCAAATAAATAATACATTTAAAACTAATACACTCAACAAATGTAATACATTCAAATTTAATACAAAATTAAGTAGTTTCAAAATGTCACCTAGTAAAGAAGCAAAAAGCTATGTCGTTACACGCCACTGACATTGAGTTCGTCTACTGTGAAGGGCTTTGTTCCGTGATAACAGCTAAAATATATGCGTCATTATTTGTTCTATATGCCTACATACTTATATGCATTGGTTATTTACTATTTTTTTTAATTAAATAGCAGAATATTAGAAGCTATAGAACTTGGAGAACTTTTGCCGATAAGATGGAGTACAAATATTGTATCACTATTTGCTCACCAACACACCAATGGAATAAAACCGAGAGATTCTCTTGTCAATAGATAAGATAACAGCATAGACAAGTGTGTATACATAGGTGATTAACTAAAAGTTGGCTAAGATAGATATGTGGTTAGATACCAAGTATTCCGGTACAATTTAAAGCACATTGGCGTGGCACACATAACTAAAGGATTTCTTCGAGGTCGGCCATTATATCAACAGTTATTTTACTGTCGCACAAACTGACTAATTATGAACGTATGTGTCCATGACTTTATGGCGAGTTTCATATTAATTGCGTGATTTTAATTGGTTTTTTTCGTTTGATATTACTATGACTGTACTCCAACGACAGTGAATGTGACAGAAAATAAACATTAATGAGTTTATTTGTTTTATCGTATTCGATTGGAAACGATTATTTCTCACCACAAATAATATATTGAATATAAATAGCACATATTTCACAAACACTCCACCGCAATCCATTTTATTCGATTCTGTTTTGATTCGCGTTCGATGTGTTAACTAAGTAAAAACTTGATCAATACTAAAGCTACGTTGTAAACCATTTTCTATTCTTATCAAATTTCTGTTGACAAACTCGGAACATTTGAAAATCTTAACAATGTGGCAACACGAATGTACGGCATTGCCATATAAAAGTTAACTGAAGCAGTAGCTGTCAAATGATCTTTTTGACGAGCATGAACCGGTTATTGATTTCAGACGGTTTGATTCTAGTCAAGGTAAATTTGCGAAAATCTACTTCTGGGATATAAATAAAATACACACCACACTTCTACATGTACATAACAAAACAATAATATTAGTCTCATTCTCTAAGTCGAATATGGCAACCCTTTCTCCAAAATATTCATCCTTGTCATTTTTTTACCCTCCACCCATGGCTTAATTAGAAAAGTTGCTCAACTTCATAGAAATGAGAAATGTGCTGGAGTCTTATATGGTCAAACAGACTTAAATATGCAACAGTTGGTTTTGTTTTTTTTTTATATTTTAACAAAACTTTTATATTGGGAAAAACCCGCGAAACAAGAATAAAACTTCGGGGTTATTCCACAATATTGAATATAAAATAGTAGGACAATACAGTTTTATCCCGAAATTGTACAATGTATTGTCCATTAACGTCGAAAATATGCATTTATTTTGCAACCGGATTTGAAATAATTTCAAATTATTGTATTTTTATTCAAAACCAATTCAAAACAATGCTACACACACAAGCACAAAATGTGTATGCGTTTTTGACAGACTAAGGGCACCAATAGAAAAAAAATTGTATTTAGGGGGTAGCATTGTTCTACCTTCTGTAATTGTCCCATACCTCCACCTATGGTAGAAGAATGCTGTTATAGTACGTTTATATATATGAGGGTTAACCCACTGGATTTGGATTTAAATTGTCATACCCATTACTTTTACTTCAAATAAATCCTCTCAAAGTAGGTTAACCCTACAAAAAGTTCTAACGTAAACATGGCATTAGATTCATCAACATATATGAACACTATACTATGCAAAAAATATTTAAGAAATTTCCGAAAATAAATTAATAAACGTATTTTAACTCTGGTTAAATAAAAACGGTCTAAGCAATAAATCCTGAACTAAATCCTGGACCAATATTAATATATATTTTTATACCCTCCACCTTGCAAAGGAGGGTATATTAACTTTGTCATTGTATATATATTCATTATCAGCATAATATTTTAAGTCGATTTAACGATGTTCGTCTGTCTGTCTGTTGAAATCGCGATACAGGCCACATTATTTGACAAAGAGCATCAAAATGTAGCAGAATAATTTTTATTGTGTCTAGGATGGTTGGAATTGAAAATGAGATATATCGGTCCACGTTTTATATAGTTATAGTCCCCATATAACGGTACCTCCCGATATTCGGTATTTTGATGATTTTTGTCACATTTTTTCACGGATTTGTCTGAAAATTGTCTGAAAATTGTATTTGTAGATCATAATGGGTCCTAGTTCATGTGGCGAGACATTGCATGTATAGGTCCACGCTTTGATATAGCCCCCATATAACGGTACCTCCCGATATTCGGTATTTTGATGATTTTTGCAACATTTTTTCATGGATTTGACTAAAAATTGGTATTTGTTGGTTATAAAGTGTTCTAGCTCCGGTGGCGAAACATTACATGTATAGGTATAGCCCCCATATAACGGTATCTCCCGATATTCGGCATTTTGATGGTTTTTGTCACATTTTTTCACGGATTTGTCTGAAAATTGGTATTTGTATGTCATAATGGGTCCTAGTTCGTGTGGCGAAACATTGTATGCATATGTTCACGTTTTGGTATGGCCCCCATATAACGGTACCTCCCGATATTCGGTATTTTGATGATTTTTGCCACATTTGTTCACGGATTTGTCTGAAAATTGGTATTTGTATGTCATAATGGGTCCTAGTTCATGTGGCGAAACATTCTATGTATAGGTATAGCCCCCATATAACGGTATCTCCCGATATTCGGCATTTTGATGGTTTTTGTCACATTTTTTCACGGATTTGTCTAAAAATTGTTGGTCATAATAGGTTCTAGTTCCGTTGGCGAAACAGTGTATGTATAGGTCTAAAAATTGGTATTTGTAGGTCATAATTGGTTCTAATGTTTCCATTGTCCTAAGGTGGAGGGCCCAGCCGAACTTAATGTTTTTTTACTTGTTTCAAATAGCGTTTTTATATAATAACAGGTAAAAAAGTAGTAAGTTCGGCTGGGCCGAACTTTAAATACCCTCCACCATTTAGAACGAATTTGGAAATTCTCGAAAAAGATAACATTCGCCAAAAATTCTACATCTTAAAAATACCGAATATAGCCGTTATATTAGGGTCTGTATGACGTGCACCTACATAGGCATTGTTTGTCACAAGCCATTACCATATTCAAATTCGAAACTTGAAATGAACAGCGAATAATGTAGTTAAAATCATCAAAATACCGTACATAGGCAGGTACCGTTATAACGGAGCTATACGAAGACCTGAACCTGTCACAGACTGTAGTTTCCATCACGAACTCTAACTACGTAACTTGTAACTACTACGGTGAATAATGACGCTAATATCATTAAAATGCCGAATATTGGGAGGTATAGGAAGACGTGGACCTGCATAGACGATTTTCTGTCTCAGGTTGTAGTATCCATTTCGAACTTCAAATGCCAAATTTGAAACAATTCCGTTGATTAATGTCGCTAAAATCATCAAAATACCGAATATCGGGAGGTACCGTTATATGGAGGCTATATCAAAGCGGAGACCTACATGACCCATTACCCTTGATCAGCGTAAAATTCTTAGACGATTTAGCAATATCCGTCTGTCTGTCTGTCCGTTTGTCTGTTGTAATCACGCTATCTTTCGAACGAATTGAGATAGAAGGTTAAAATTTTGCACAAATGTTTATTATGCTAGTAAGCGGGTTAAGTTCGTAAATGGACCATGTAGGTCCACGTTTTCATATAGCCCCCACGTTGCTTTAGTTTTTCTTTTTTTCTTTCACGTCATCCTTCGAAAATTATGATTTGTAGAAGATTTTTTCACAAACTCACGCAAAGTAAAGTTTTAACCCTTAGTAGAATTTTATGACAAATATTTTTGTAGAATGTTTTGACTTGCTAAGATCCCATTAAAAATACGTTTTTAACAACATTTAAAAAAAGATCAAAAAAGCCTTTTGGTGACTGGCTTGAGGGTTAAAATTTTTAACCAAAATATTTCTCGTATTCTTATGGCGGAATCAAGAAGGTAAAGTCATCTCAAATAAACATTATCATCTCTGCATTTTCTGTAACTGAGCATATAAAATACAATTCATATGAACTGTCACAACAAACCGATTTGTTTATTTACATTAAACCATTGAAATATTCAATAGATTTTGTGATAAAAAAACATCAACGTCTGTGTGTAGAATTAAAATTGTGCCGACGGCGAAAAATATAGCAAATGTCTAAAATGGTCAAAAATATTACATAGTAAGCTCCACCCGATTTTTCTTGATTTCATTTAAACCCTTACGACTTCAGACGCTATATTTCTATCAATGAACGACCTAGTGTGAAGATGGTATACATTGGTCCATTCTTCTGGTATCTCCCCTACAAAGCGTCAAGACTTCGAATAATTATAACACTCACAAAATGCGAATTCTTTTCAAACTCTGCATATCTTAATACATATACAAACCTATGTAGTTGGGTGGAATTCAATGTTTTACAAAATCAGTGGCGTTTCATTATTATTTTATGATTTTCCATGGAACAATGAAATAAAGGTAACATCATTTCAATTTAGCATTCCCAGCTTTGCATTTTCTGTAATTTACCTTGTCAATTTTTAATGCATAAAAATAGCTCCCATCTCTGATTTTGTGAGTATACACTGGTGGCCAAAACTAAAGCAACTGAAATTACAAGGAGAATGAATGCTCTGTAACTTTTATAAAAATTGGGTAAATGAGAAAGTTTTTCTAGTTTTAAATTAGGCACTTTATTCACTTTTTAAAAACTTTAAACGAAAAACCAAAATTAATTTTTATATAAAGAATAATGTATGATAAAGTCAATTAACCCGATATTGGCGTGGACAAAACAAAATCTGAAAACATCGGAAACCTAGGATAGCTTTCAGAAACGATAATATTAATTGGAATCCAGCTCAATGGAAAAACGTTTCATTCTGGTATGAGTCTACGTTTAATATTAGGGGCTCAGACATGAAAAAATTTACGTTGAGAAGACCAAAAAAAATGAAAGACTCAAGCCGCAGTGTTGCAAGGGTACAGTGAAGCATGAGGGAGGGTTTAAAATGGTGTGGCTCTGTTTTTCTTTTATGGACTTGTGCCTATCTATGAAATAAAGGAAGTTATGGATCGGTTTGTTTACAAAGATGTGTTGAACATCACGTTGTTCCTTTCCGCTGAGGAAAATATTCGGCTTATTTGGGCGTTTCAGCATGACAATGATCCCAAACATGCATCACAACGTGTCAAGGATTGGTTGCGGGAGTCAAAAATCAGTGTTTTGTCATGGCCGGCACAATCATCTGACCTAAACCCCATAGAAAATCTTTGGAGTATCGTAGACAGGAAGATCAAGCGAGATTCGGAAAGAAATGAACACAACATTTTCCAAAGAATTCAGGGTGCCTGGAAAAGCATACCCAAGGATCAAATTGAGCGTATTATAGATTCAATGCCTCGTAGGGGTGCTGCTATCAAAAATAATGGATGCTATCGACTACTAGCCAAAATTTAATTATTTTAAAAAATCAAAAAGTTGCTTTAGTTTTGACCAAGCAAAAATTGGATCATTTTAGTTTTCCATATATTATTTTTCATTCAATATTATTTTTGTATTCTTATTTTTAGTTTTTTTTAAACGTGAATTAAACACCTCATTTAAAACTAAAAATATAATTACGATTTCTTTATTTTTTGTTAAAGTTAGAGGGCATTTATTGTCTTCGCGATTTTAGTTGCTTTAGTTTTGGCCACCAGTGTATAATGGATTTATGAATATTGATTTTGACAATGAGAGGTTGCCAAATGCATAAATTTGCAAAAAAAATGTAAACATATGATTATATGACTTTACCTTCTTAGTTCTACCATGTGATTTTCTTATAGAAAAAAATATTGTAATAAAGTTGTTTCACAAAATTAAAATTATTCTACAATCCAGGATTTGCTACGGCTATGGGGTAATTTTCTCACAGCACCTTGCATTAAAAATTCAAAATGAACGATTAAATGTATTTCTGTTTCTTCCATTTTTAACAACAATCTTTTACAATAAAAAAGGAAGCCTTTTTAAAAAAAAAAACTACAAGAGGTTTTATTTCAAATGTCTTAATCGAACTTAAAATGTTACTTTCAAGAAAATCTTACAAACTATCTATGAAATTTAATTTAGTGGCAAATGTTGGTGACTCTTACATACTGTGGCGTGATTTGCGTATGCTGCTCATCAGACAGCATGCAAATGTAAGTGCCACAAGTTCTACAAGCGCAACACCAATGCCAGCATAACGAATTATGTTGACGTTGGATGACCAGAAGTTCAAGAATTCTTTGCGACAACCGGGTTTGAATTCATAGACACTAGCTTCACAAGCGTTATCCAAGGTACCGCAACAGGAATTTGGAACTTGCAAATTATTTGAGGTGTAATCTATAGAGCCAGTAAGACCGCAACATTTGAACTATGGAAGTAGGAGAAGAAATATAAATTTATCTGTAGACGATGCTATGCATGTATGTGTGTATACAACTAAATACTTACGCTAATTTGCAGAGCATCCATGGGGTATCCATTGGCCTGGTCATTCTTTTCCCAGACGGTGTTAACAACCTTTTCCATGGAATTCATAAATTCTTTATATTTGACGAACATCCATACCACCAAAGCAATTTGCAGGCAGAAAACAATGAACATGAAAATGGCGTACTACAAAAAGTAAAGGATCTGATAACAACTGGTATTTTCCGAAAAGAATTAAATGTTCACTTACAATGGATGTGCAACAGACACTTTCGCGTATAGCTCCACAACAGCCGAAGAACGCTATGATGAAAATGATGCAGCCCAAAATAATGATCAAAATTGGGATGAGATCTGTGTTGATTACATCACTGAAGTCCGACAAATCGCCAACATTGTTGACCATAATAGAGCCAAGAACGATAAGTAAAATGCCACAAAGCTGAAAGAAAAAGAAAACCGAATTTAAATTGGTAACAATTAGAAGTGGTGTCGCAGCGTTAAAGGGTGGTCAACACAGTGTCACGCTTGTGATAAAGTATGGATAAAGTATCGCATCGACACAGCTGCTGGGGCAATGAAATTTTTGAATGAAAAATTATTCAAATTTGTTAATTGGTGTCGTATAGGGAAATTTTAAAAATCTACTTATTTTTCAAGAAATGTTAAAAAAAAATGACATATCAATGTTTCCAAGCGTTGACGCATCTACCTGAATTCTTCTACCATGGTACAAGAATAACAACACCATCATATGCTTTGTTGGTAAAATCAGCAAAGCATGCACGCCCTTATTAGAGTAGAGTTTGCTCGTTTTGTTTTTTCTACTACAAGCAGCGCTCTTGCCGTCATATGTTTACATTTTTACCAAATTATACATTTGACAAAATTTCATTGTCATCGCTTTCTATTCAGTGCTTTGTTCCCGTACCTGCAAGAATCTACTAGTTTTGCAATTTATTTCGATATCATCAAGAGAACATCGGTTATCGTAGTAAAAACTTTTACATTCTTGCAGTTCTGGATAAGACCACAGTTAAATTTGACAAGATAAATTGTAATGAGGTTACCTTCTTAAGTCTACCTTGTTAGAGGAATAGGGCTTTGGAGAAATAACAAGTAAAAAATCAATTGAATACCCTCCACCAATCCGTTAAATTCTTATTTCCCTTTAAAATTCGAATGCCGAATATAGCCGTTATATTGGGGTCTATAAGAAGACGCGAACCTGCATAGACAATTTTTGTCATAAGCTGTCACAATATTCACATACGAAATTTAAAAGAACCCGTGTACCTAAAATCGTCAAAATACCACATATAGGAGGTACCGTTATATTAGGGCTTATACTGGACCTTCATAGAGAGTTTTCTGTCACAGACTTTAGTTCCCATTGCGAACTCTTAATATTTGAAATAACTCCGGTGAATAATGTCCCTACAATAGTCAAAGACATTTATCTTCCAGTTCCTTGAAAGAATTTCTAGCATGGATTTTTAGACAATTCCATTGAAAAATGTAGCTAAAATCGTTATCCTATACGGAATATCGGGGGGTATCATTGTATGGGGGCTATACGATATCGTGAACCGGTATAGCTCATCTTCGAACTTGACCCGCCTGCAGGCAAAAGTCTGATCTGAGGGAACTCTACACTGATCAAGAATATATATATACTTTGTTAGGTCTAAAATTATTATCTCGATCCTCCTTGTATCTTATCATTTGGCATTAATATGCCATGCAACGATGCCAAGCCGCTTATATATCACCACCTGAGGGCCACGTTAAACGCTCCTACAAAAAACATACAGAACTTTAAAATTATGTTTTAAGTTCTAAATATCATGGGCATAATTTTAATAACGTGTTATACTGAAATGTATTTAATAGGAACATGGTTTTATTTATGGCATTTTACGATTACTCATGTCATTTTATATATTATTATCTCTTGCGGAAGTGACAATCAAATAGGTCGAAGAGAGGTGGTATGAAAGAAGTTGTATGTCTGTTTTGAATTGACCGTACTGTCAAAGTAATACAATACAACAAATAAAACTACAAATCTCTCAACCATGGTAGAATTAAGAAGGTAAAGTCATGAAATCATACGCATATTTTTTTTTCAAAATGATTGATTTGACAATATCTCATTGTCAAAATTTATATTTAGGATTTCATTGTACATACACAAATCAGAGATGGAAACCTGTCTTGCAGCGAAATTTAACTAGCTAAATTACAGAAAATACAGAGATGGGTATGCTTGTTTAAAATGACTTTACTTTCTTAATTTTACCATGATTATACATCCATATCCATATCGTATTTTTGAAATTAAAAAACTAACCGATCATGCCGCTGTCGTGGAAAACCTATTCCAGGAACATTCATAATAGTCATATTTTTTTATCTATAACACAACACATGTGTTATCATTGGGGAATTTCCTGTGGTCTATGTGGTTCCACACCGAGTGCAAACAACTACAACAATGATTGCTTTTTTCATATTTTTGTTTTTAGAGAATGAAAAGTGGTTAAGGGTGTCAATATTTTTCAAAACCGCTACAAAAGAAGATCATATCAGAATAAAGTTAGTACCTGTCAAGGACATTCGTCAGTAAATGTAGTTTTTTTTTGTTTGAATACTGTGCTTTCTTCTGATAGTAGTATTATATATATTTTTAAAAAATAATATTTTTTATGCTTTGAAAGTTATTAGGAAATAAAGAATCAAAGGTTTGGGATTCTGGACTTACAATGTGTTTACATACATATTTTTATCCGCAAATATAAATCTTTTGATTCCGATGCGAGGATTTACATTCCAAGGCCCATTGAACGAAAAATGCTAATGTGATTGAAAAACGTTCCGACTGTCAACATTTTTGTTTAACATACTACGGATGGAATCAGCTGGTATTATCGGAAGTCCTAATAGATAGGCCATGCTACATACCATGGTACAGTCAATCGGTACTGGATTTACCGCAGCTGATCATCTATCCGCTAGCAACGAGGACTAGTACGGGACCGGAAACTCGTCGATTTTCAGGGTTACAGTAAGTAGTTCCACTTAAGACCCCTCATAGTGTAAACTACTGCAAACTTTAATATGGGGATGTCATACGAGTTAACCAATTGGCTCTCTTTGCATTATCTGTAGATGGTACCATGGTACAATAAGGAGGTAGAACAGCTTCGTAAAACTACTGAAATACTGCCCTGAGGCTATGCCCGCTTCCTGTCAGAATTATTCAAAATTGCATGCAACAAGTTGTTTTCATTTATTTGATATTTTTTGTTCAATTTTTAAATGAGTCAAAAAGCGCGAAAGAAGAATGAAATGCTTGGATGTTCTCTAAAAAATTTGATCCTAGATGCGTGCCCCGCAATTTAAATTTCTTCCAATTATTGATTTTGAAAATATTTTATTTTTAAAAGCTATAAATACATACACAAAATTGGCAGTGGTCGGGCACACTTAGAAAAAAATTGTAATCAGCTGGTAGCTCTACCTTACCTTTTTATTGTACCATGGATGGTACTTTACTGGTTCTAGATTTCAATTCATATACCAGTGACCAAAGACTAACCCCTACCTAGTCCCAATTATATAGTACCTTTAACTTTATTGTTGGTGTTTTTTATTTATTCGCAACAGTCGCCCTTTCGTTTACTTGGGTACAAAAAAAGTTTCAATTGATTTCCTTCGCATTTATTAGGGGCAACATTTTGTACTAGTACGACTTATAACTAGTGCAGGACTGACGAAATAGAGTTAATTGGAATTATCATTGTTAGCGGGTAGATTAGTTGTCAAAACACTTATCGCGTTCGAAATCACATTACGAAAGATATACAAACAATAAACAAAATGTAAATACATTTTGACATTTCGTCTGATTGGTGTAACATGACAAAATTGGTGTACGATAACAAAATATGTCGTACAACATATTACCAAATCTTGTTCGATAACCCAAAAGTCCAATAAATGAGAGCGAGTAAAGAGAGCAATTTTGACATTTAAGTTGCTGAGAGTTTGCAAAATATAACTGGATTCATTGTTCGAAACAATGTTTTCTTGCAATATTTTATCAAATATTGTTCGGTAACTTTTTGTATTATTTGGATGTGAGATGGAATTCTCTCAGAAAATTTCATTTAGTAATTCATATTAGAAAAGCTATTGCACATTACCCATTATTGGGACATGCCACATACCATGGCCATAATGCTGGCTGTCAAAAATGTTTTGACAGCATTTTTGGAGTTCAAAATTTTGAATTAAAAATTATTTAAATGAGTTTTGACTGCATGGTAGAATTAATAAGGTAAAGTCTTGCAATCATATGTTCACAACTTTTTAAAAAGAATACGCATGACAACATCTCATTGTCAAAATGTGTATTCAAAATTCCTTTAAATATACAACAAGTTAAAAAGTTGTAAGTTCGGCCGGGCCGAACTTTGAATACCCTCAACCATTTGGTACAAATTTGGCAATTTTCAAAAAAAAATAAAATCCGTTAAAATCTTAAAAAAACCGAATGTAGCCGTATATATACGTCTATACGACGACGTGGACCTTCAAAGGCAACTTTTTGTCAGAAGCTATTACAATATTCAAATGCGAAACTTTAAAAAAAAATTGAGTTTTGCCTTATTAAGGCGAAGATCATATGTTTTATGATTTAAGTGATTGTTTTCTCTTTCGAGACGAGCTTAATGATCTGAAATTTGCAGTGAAAAGGAAAGCCAGATAGACACTATCACACACTCACCACTATGCGACGCGTTTCGCCGTTGGTTAAGCGGCTCATCAGGCATATTTGATGTGGATGATGGCTTACAAGGGCCGTTCTCTGGAAAGTAGTATATATTTCGAACTTATTGCAAATTAGCATATGCGAATTATACACTAGAAATTCTCCAGGTTCGACTCAAGTTCTATTGGCAGATCTTTTTCACAGCAACGTTTTTTTGTTTATGATGTAGTTAAAATCAACCGGTTACTAATGTCGCTAAAATCATTAAAATACCAAATATTGAGAGGTACCGTTATATGGGGGCTAGACGAAGACGTGGACCTACATGGCCCATTTTCAATACGAAAAGTCCTGCAGACATAATACAAATTTGAGTAAATGTTTATAAACTTACATCATTCCGTTCGGAAGCTCGAGTGATTTCCACAGACGGACATTGCTAAATCGACATAGAATTTTATGCTGATCAAGAATATGTATACTTTGTGGGGTCTAAAATGTATAATACGAGGTATTACAAACGGAATGACAAACTTAATATACCCCCTTACTATGGTGGAGGATATAAAAATTAGAGATGGGAACCTGTTTTCTATGCAGTGAAATTCGACAAGGTAAATTACAGAAAATTCAAAGATGGATGTGCTTATTTGAAATGACTTTACCTTCCTTATTTTACCATGTTTAACTGTTAAAAATCACATATCATAACAATATCTGAAGGGCATCGTATAAGAAAATATTTAAAAAGCCATTTATTTTTGGAGAATTGTGTAAATATTTTTTACGCATCAATCTACCATGTTACTATAGGCATTATCAGACGGAATAGGGTTTACATGTGTGCTGTCACTTTTATTATCTATGTGTATTTATTTACATATGACTCATAATTTTTGGTATCACACACTTGCATATGTTTTTAGTTTCCTTTAATTATTGCGATTACATGTTTTTAATAAAAAAATATTTTACAATTGAATTTTTATCATAAATTTCATTTTATATATTTTCAAAGAACAAACAAACCAGAATTTATATTAAATTGTATATTTCCGATGAAAATGGGGCTCACACGATATGTACAACATCTACAAAACATTTCGTCTGATAAAGCCTTAACGGAATGCAACACAGTGTTTTTATGCGGTAGACTACAAAGTCACAAGTGTTTTCGCAAAAGCGTGTTTTATATTTCCCAGCGGCATTTATATCCTCCTAAAGGTCTGTTTACGTATGATAAATTCAATGAATTTCAACTGTCAATTCCATTGCATATGAGCCATGGTAGAAGAATACAGACAATAAACCGTCAAACCAATTTTGGATTTAAATTTTTTGAATGAAAAATTAAATTTTTAAAAATGCATATTATAACAACTTCCGATTGACTTCGTACAAGAAAACATATAAAAATCTACTAATTTTTGATAAAACCTTTTTAATTTGTTTGACATGTCAATGTTCCTAAGAGTTGTTGCATGTATTCTTCTACCATGAGTATACGCCAAATCTTAAATCCAATGAATTTCATTTAACGTATTCCCAATAGAATTGACTGTTGAAATTCACGGCATTTATTATTTGTGTTCGGCTTTATAGGTTTTCTCCCTCCCCTTACATCAATGTCTTAGACTCATATGTACATGTACGAAATATAGGGTGAGATGAAAAAAATGCAACAAACTTCAGACTCCTGTCATCTCTAAGCCACTCGTCCGACAGCTGTTAAAATTATTCCAGTGACAGCTACAAAAGCATTTTCGTGAGAATTTTCCAGAAAAAAGTTATTTGTGATGGAATTCAAGCGTGAGAGTGTGACTTCTTTATATTTGGCTGGAAAACCAGAAGTGGCTATCGTTAGAGCACTCCAGCATTTATATTGGAATAAATCTTTTTTGTCTCGTACCATCGCTCGTTACCGTGAGACTGGTAGCATAGCCTGACGTCAAGGAAGTGGACGGAAGAAAACAGCATCATCAGCAAAAATGGTTCGAAATGTCAAGAAGCGACTTGATCGAAACCCGCGTCGTGGTGCCGAGAAATGACTCGTGAGCTGATCATATTGCAATATTCCATTCGGCTAGTATTGAAAAATGAGCTCGGGGTAAAAACATTGAAATTCCAAAAAGTGCAAGAACTTACACCGCAACAGAAAGGAAATGGACTTAAAAGAGCTAAAGAGTTGCTTCGCTTGGCCGAAAGTGATGAACTGCCGAATTTATTTTACTCCGATGAGAAAACATTTTTGTCCAGCAGTTCGTAAACAAACAAATTGATCGTGTTTACTTGTCAAAGAGTTCAGCTGAAAATGTGCACCTTCGGTTGGCCACGAGAACGGCAATGGTGATGTGGGCCGCCATAACAGCCGATGGTCGCTCTCCGCTCGTATTAATCGACCGTGCCATCAGAATAAATGGCGAATATTATCGCGAAAATATTTTGGAGGGTGTATTAAAGCCTTGGGCACGCAAATATTTTGGTCACAGACCTAGGACATCCCAACAGGACTCAGCACGCACCGCCCAAGAATGGTTACAAAATTAGGTTCCTCGCTTCATTTCCAGCGCACAATGGCCACCAAAATCTCCGGATACTAAACCGTTGGACTATTTTTTCTTTTGGAAAGCAAGGTTGGCACTAAAAAATACCAAAGTGTCGATCACCTTAAGCAAACGCTTCGCCAGGAATAGGCCAAAATAGCGCAGAGCAACATTCGGGCAGCGTGTGACGATTTTATTGGCGTTTGAAGGCCATACATAATTCGTGCCAAAGGTGACCAATTCGACAAATTTAAACTTATTTTAAATTTTGATGCTATTTCCGACATTTTTGCTCTCATTCATTTCACATGAAAATCGAAACTACACTTTTTACACGAACATTTAGTATATCTTAAAGATAATATCTAATATATAGTATATATTAAAAATATGATTTGAACGTGTGACGATATCACAGAGCTATTAAAAAATGTTGAACCTATTTTTATTACTTCGTATCAATTATTCTTTGAGACACTGGAGCTGTGGTTACTCCTATCTGATGTTTGGTACACACAACATTTTTTAAGTGGTTTACATTATAAAAATACGTCGTTTATTTGCCATATGTACGTTATATGGAAATGATTATTTAAATATGGCACTTTATCACACATGTTTTTTTTTTTTGAACAGTGTTGGCTTGCTTGTTCGGGATACCGTAGTATTTTGTTGTTGCAAAATGGTCAGGCTTTATCCCTTTTTTGTTTTGTTTTTTTTTGAATTACTTTATATATCCTCTCATAAAGTCCATGTTTTCCAATTAAATCACTTTCAATTATTAATTACTTTATGTTTTTTGCATCACTTACCACAAATATCAAATTAAAAATATATAAAATATATTTAACAATGTGGGCCATGCAATTCATTTTGATATTTGTTTATTAGCAATTAGGTTATCAAATTTAAATAATTTATTTATTAAAGATGTTTATTAAAAAAACGTATGTGTTTTTTTGATTAAATGCACTATTCTTTTTTTATTTCCGCTGAATGGGAAGGAGCGGTCGATGTCTTGTTCGCTTAAGTGAACTTGTCGTTGCGAATCGTTCGAATAATTTCAAGTATTTAACTAACAAAGCCTTTTTAATGGATCCAGATACAATTTCATTGAAGTATTTTTGTACCGAGAGTTCGCGTATCTTATCGAAGCTCTTATCAAAAGACACACAAAACCAAAAATAAAAAACAAAAATAAAAAACAAGAATAAAAATGATAACTGAAATGGGCCTTAGTGGAGTGCGAGCGACTATCTAGCCCCCCAATTTGTCACATGCGCCTATTGTATCCAAACAAGAAGCACCTTATGGAAATAGGTACGCCATAATAAAGAAAGGTATGGATGTTACCATTCGCAAAAAACGTCAGGTCTGAATGAGCCAAATACAAAACAAATACATTTACAATGGCTCATTATCATTAACGTTGTATGGGTATTTGCAAATAACGGATGAAATGTACTTAACAATTAATAGACCAGAATAGGTACACATTGTAGGCTTGTGGGTATCGGTGGTACGACTGCCATGGCATTTATTCCATCTGGCCGTGACTCATACCACATTTGGTAATTTACCCTGGGTAAATTTAAACTTTTTATAGATTACTTCAATAATCTGCAGAAGCAATTGATTTCAATACATATAATAAATTTAATTTTTATAAAACAGATAAAACTAATGTTGCTACTAATGGCACACGCGCGTTCTTCTGGGACTATTTCACAAAAAAATGGGTGATGGCAGTTTTTTTTTTTTGGTGTTCTCATATTTTTTGCTTCAATATATTGACGATTATAGTATTTGTACTTCCTAATCCACAGACACATTTTTTTATAAGCGACACCACACTGGTCAGGGTATTATTATGGTAATATGTAGTTGTGCATTTGTTTGTAACAGAAGAGAAAAAAGCGACCTATAGTTACTTTTGAAGATCTGCATAGAATCACATTCAGAGTTGATTTATGCATGGTTGTCCGTCCGTCTGTCCAAGTATGTTTGTAAACAAAGTGCAGGTCGCATTTATTACCCGATCATGTCGAAACTTTGCACAAAACATTTGTTTGGTCCAAGAACGAACCCCATTGAAATTGGAGATAATCAATGGAAATTTAGATATAGCTCCCATATATATCTTAAACCGATATGCCGTTTATTAGCCCAAACAGGACCAATATTTGGCAAATATAACGAAGTTGAGCGTAGAAAAGTGTGTATCAAATTTGGCAATCGGTTTATATATTGCCATAGTTACCATATATATTTTTCACCCGATTTGTTAAATTTCTCCCCCACAGCCGTAATACGCACTCCGTAACAACAATATTTGGGGAAATATATCAAATAAAGCTCAGAAATACCTTGCATTAATTTTATCGAGATCGGTTCAGATTTGGATATAGCTTCCATATATATCATGACTAAATTTAAAGTTTTTTGTGCACCAAACGGTTAATATAATCCCGAATTGAATGGATTTTGGCACATACGAAAGAATCAGATAAATAAATACATGTCTCATCCGATTTTGTATTTTACTCCCTCAAACCTGTAAAATACTCTTCACAACAGCGATATTTGGTGCCACCTATCAGGTACAGCATAGAAATACCTCCGCTAAATATTATAGTGATCGGTTCAGATTTGGATATAGCTCCCATTTATATATTCATCCAATTTCACGATTATTGTGCCTAGAAAGTGCCATGTAAGCTTAAATAGGATGGATTTTGATGAATATCGGTTAACTGCTTTAACGACCATAGTTGGTATTCATTCATTTGGTATGAATTCCCCATAAAAAAAGTTTATTTGTTATATGTAGCTCTACTATATGTAGAGTGTCCGTCAGCACGTCTTTCCATGTATTTTAGTAAGCAAAGTACAGGTCGCATTTTTTGTCTGATTGAGATGAAATTTCCCACAAATCATTTGTTTAGCCCAAGGATGAACCCTACTGATATTCAGATTTGAATATAGCTCATATATAGTGTGAAACCGTCACACGTTGGCCGAATGTTGCTCTGCGGTATTATTGCCCATTCCCAAACCTTGGCATGATAACTGAAGGTAGAACAAAGCTACCCCCTAAATACCCTGGGCACAAATTTGACATTGATTTTAGTTTGATTCTGGAAGCGTTATGCGGTGGTTTAATCGTTGTGCGTATTGTTAAAGTTAAATAGAGAGTGTGCGAACAAAAGTAGAAAGCAATTGACAAAAAGAATAACTTTAATATGAAATATAGTTCGCTTCATAGAAGACGGCCTTTAAAAGCAGAAAAAGAAGATTTTGTGAAAAGGCTATTGAATTCAATAAAATACAATACAATACGTATGGGGCTTGTGGAAATATGATTTTAAAAGTATATATAAAATTGTTATTGGTAAGTATTCTGATTTTAAAAGATTATTTAGTTTTAATGACTGTCTTTATTTTAGCTGAATTATGTGACTACTTCCTCAATGATGAAAAGGAATTTCGAGCACAACTCGATTGTTCCCAAAATAAAAGCAAAAACTAATTATATACTTTTTAATTACATATTTAATTATATAATATTCGATGCATTATATAACCGTGGATTGGAGAATAACTTGAGTTTTTTTAATTAAATTTATTTTCTATTTTGCCTTTTCTCATTATAAACCAAAAACTCGAAATGTAACTGTAAAATGAAATATTTCGACTTATATGTTTTATACAATAAAACACAAATACTTATTGTACGCTAGTTATATTGTATTATTTGCTATTTTTCTCTGAGTGTATATATCGTTAAAACTGTTATGCTTAAGTAGCAGTTCATCCTAATTATGGTAATTATTTATAATGCTAATAATTAATAGATTATAATTATCTATAAATTATTATTTGTCATAATAAGGATAAAGTGCTAAAAAATATCACACTCAGAGAAAAACGAAAAATTAATAGACCACTTAATGGATTGGTTTCAAAACTAGCCCTCTGAGGTACTCTATGGACTAGTTACACGGATTAATTTTAAGATCAACCATATGTGGTGTACCATAGAGTAATGACGTTGATTAGTTTTGAAACTACTTTGATGTAATGCAAAGCAGGGTTACATGGTCCGGCCCTAGGACATAACATTACTAAATCGGTTAGGTTTTTTCAATGCATTTGGATTAGTTTTGGACTATTCCTGGTCTGTTATGGACTACTTTTTACACGCGTGTATGGATTAGTCAAATTATTTGCAGGGTATTCTGTCAAAACATATACACATTTTGTGTATGTGTGTGTATTGTTTTGAATAAAAAATACAATAATTTCAAATTATTTCAAAATTGGTTGCAAAATAAATGCAAATTTTAGACGAAATGGGTAACAAATTGTACAATTTTGTGATACAACTATATTGCCCTACTATTTTAGATTCAATCTTGTAAAATAACACTGAAATCCCAATCCTTGTTTCGCGGGGTTTTCTTTTTTTACTAAAAAAAAAATATAAAAATAAACAAAGCCAACTGTTGCATATTTAAAAGTCTATTTGACATTATAAGACTCCAGCACAGAGTTGCATTTTTCTAGTTTCTTTAATGTTGAGCAACCTTTCTTATTGAGCCATAGTGCCAACTTTGCTTTCCAAAATGCTCCAGACACAATAGTCCAACGGATTGGTATTCGCAGATTTTCGTGGCCATTGTGCGCTGGAAATAAAGCGACAAACCTCATTTTGCAAGCATTCTTGGGTGGCGCGTGCTGAGTGCTATTGTGCTGAGTCCTGTTGGAATGTCCAAGGTCTGCGGCGAAAATGTTTGCGTGCCCAAGGCTTTAATATACCCTCCAGAATATTTTCGCGATAATATTCGGCATTGATTCTGATGCCACGGTCGATTAATACGAGCGGAGAGCGACCATCGGCTGTTATGGCGGCCCACACTATTACCATGGCCGGCGCTTGAGTTCTGGTGGCCAAGCGAAGGTGCACATTTTTAGCTAACATCTTTGGCAATTAAACACGATCATTTTGTTTTTTTTTTTTTTTTACAAACTGCTGGACAACGAATGTTTCTCATCGGAGAAAACCAAATTCGACAGTTCACCACTTTCGGCCAAGCGAAACAACTCTTTACCTCTTTTGAGTTTATTTTCTTTCCGTTGCGGTGTAAGTTCTTGCACTTTTTGAAATTTCAATGGCTTTACCTTGAGCTCATTTTTCAATATTTGCCGAATGGAATATTGCGATATTTTTAGCTCACAAAACATTTTTCGGCCACTGCAACGCGGGTTTCGATCAAGTCGCTTCCTTACTTTTCGAACCATTTCTGTTGATGTTGCGGTTTTCTTTCGTCCATTTCCTTGACGTAGGACTACGCTACAAGTATCACGGTAACGAGCGATGGTACGAGACACAAAAGATTTATTCACATTAAATGCTGGAGTGCTCTAACGATGTCCACTTGTGGTTTTCCAGCCAAATATAAAGAAATCACATTATCACGTATGAATTCCATAACTTTTTTTTTGGAAAATTCTCACCAAAATGCTTTTGATCGCTTCTAAACAATATAATGAGCTGTCACTGGAATAATTTTAACAGCTGTTGGACGATTGGCTTAAAAATGACAGCAGTCTGAAGTTGGTTGCAGCTTTTTTATCTCACCCTGTATAATGCTTCCATGTTTCATCTGATTTGGGGTCGAAGACCCTCTCATTCGGAACATGCACTCCACATCAATGATGTTTGAAACCAGATATCATATATGCTCCAAAAATACCTCTGCCAAATTCCATCGAGATCGGATCAGATTTGGATGCACCTCCCATATATATATTTATTCGATTTGACATGCTTCAATATATATTTTTTAATATAATCCTTGTCGAAGTCATATTATGCACTCTATAACAAGGTTATTTGGCACGAGATGTACAAATGCCTTCGTCAAGTTTGGTGGAAATCGATTCAGGGTCGGATATACATCCGATATATTAGTTTCCTCTAATTCCAAATATTAATAGCTCTAAAGCTATAATACGTGTTCAAAAAAGGTTAAAGCTGGAACGATCTACATCACTTTTATTCCCAATTT